CACAAAAGAAGCATCTCTACTAATCTCATCTTCATGATAACCTCTGATATTATTCTAGTATTACCCTTTCAATGTATTACCCGATCTCTTATGTATTGATTGGAAGATATGATAATATTCAGTTATTTTATCGTCCTGGGTATAACGATAAATTACATCCGGCAGATAGGAAGGTTTTGAGAAGCGTGGAGCCAACTGCTGTTGTTTCAAGCTCCATCCTGATCTTGGTTAATAGCACCTCTTAGGGTCCCAGCTATAGAAAAATAGTGAATCTCCCAAACAAAAATCAACAGTACATTTTTATAATAAAATGAGTAACATTTTTATAGCAAAACGACAATCAATGCAACAATAAAAATATAAAAAGTACATTTTTATAGCAAAATTATCAACAATACACCTTATGGTATACAAACTATATATCTAAAAAAAACATACCTTTACCCTAGAAGTTTAAAATTATGTAGAAGATATCTGTAGTTGAAAGCATAAAATTACTTATAAAATATTTATATTTTGGCATTAAAAAACCCATAGAGGTGTTTATATGCCGTTAAACAAAATCAACCAACAAACTAGTTATTTTATAATTAAATGATTCTCAACCTCTGTATCACGGCACACTAATTTACCACGTGATCCTCTTCAGTGTTCCGCGGAATATTGTCACAAAGTAAGTTCATATTTATGTGTGTATATCTTTTTTAAAATCTATGGTTTTATTTCGTAATATTTAAATGAATATCCTTTAAAAACATTGCCAAGAATGTCGGGATATTTTCATTTTGCTTCTAGGTGTGCCGTTGCTTAAAAAGTTTGAGAAACTCTGGTCTCTTATATTCGTCTTCTTTATTTAGTTCCTTCCTGTATACGTAAAATATGCTTTCATTAGACTTTCACATATGTAATCTCTGAAGTGGCCGATAATTCAAAGACCATTATTTTAATTTGAATTATGATGATCTCTGCAATATTATTTTGCTACTTACATCGTTCTTTCCTGTAAACGTAAATTATGCATTTATTAAAACTTTATATATATATATATATATATATATAAAAGTTTTAATAAACGTAATTTATGCATTTATTAAAACTTTATATACAGGAAAGTTTTTAATAAATGCATAATTTACATATATATATATATATACATATATATAATTTTAATAAATGCATAATTTACGTTTGCAGGAAAGAACGATATATATATATATATATATATATATATATATATATATATATATATATATATATATATATATATATATATATAAATTTTAAAATTCTCCTTCCCTCTCTAAATTCAACAAGGTCTCTCACACCCTTCCTCATACCTTCTATGTTAATTTATATAAGCTTAATACTGCCCGTCAAAAGTGTAAATTTTAATTTCATTTTTCGTTTCACCTTTTGACAGTGATGTCTGAGGATTCAGGTAAAATTAAAAGTCTCTGGTGAAATAAATTATTACAATGGAGACTTAAAGTGGTCTGTTTTTCTTTAAATTATTAGCTCTGAATTAACATTGAGCTCTCAGGATTTCATCTTCCTTGGGATTATCCATACGGATTACCAAGATTTTCGTTACTAGGATGCAGGGGGTTGCAGAAGATTTGGAGCGAGACCAGATAGGAGTGATAGAAGAAAGGATGAGGAGAAGGGTAGTGGATAGATCAAGGTAACTGAAGATGTCGATTGACATTACATTTGAGTAGTTGGAGATTATAGTTCTCAGGGAAACAGTAATAGGGAAGGGTGTTCCACAGGCGAGAGGTGCGAGATATGAAGCTACTGGAGTAGAAGAGACGGCTACATTTAAAAGTTTCTACACTGAAAGGGTGAAAGCGGGATGCCAGCCTCGTAGGGCGCTTGAATTCCTATATTACATATCCGCCTCTGTATCTTGTCAAGAACTCCGATGTAAACAGAATGTGCACCAGACCATATATGGCAGCAATACTCCATGCAAGGGCGAATGGTTGATTTGTATATTTGAAGCATCGATTCCGGGGAGAAAAATTTTCTGGCGCGGCATAAGAGAGCCAACTTTCCTTGCGGTGGACGAATCAATTGACTCAATGTATTTGTTCCATCTAAGGTCAGCAGTCAACGTGAGACCGAGCAGACGCAGAGAGTTTCTCTCAAGAAGTTGAGCATCAGACATTCTAATGGGGGGACAGGGAAGGATCTCTATGGTGATTAATAGGGATCAGTTTAGTTTTTGAGGCGTTAAAGTTGACCAGCCAATTCTTGCCCCAATTAACAACCGATTGGAGGTCCATTTCAAGACGAGTGGCCAGGTTAGTTTTGTCAGCGACACTAGATTTGTTTTTGAGGCAGGAGTAAATTGTAGTGTCGTCCGCGTAGATGTCAACTTGGGAATCTATGGCGTCAGGAAGGTCGTTGATGAAAATAAGGAATAGAGTGGGGCCCAGGATGGAGCCTTGAGGAACACCTGCGTTCATGGGATAGGAACTGGAGGAAAATTCGTTGAGAACTACCTTCAATTCACGGTTTGACAGGAATGATTGTATGAGGTCAAACAACTGACCTGTAATACCATAACCCTGGAGCTTGAAGAAGGCCGGCATGCCAAACCCTATCAAACGCTTTGGAGATGTCTAGGGCCACGGCACAAGCCTCACCATTATTTTGAAGGGCTTGGTAGACGGTTTCAGTGATGGCCGTAAGCACATCAGCTGTAGATCGGGCGTAGCGGAAACCATATTGCTTGTCTGAGAGCAGGTCATGTGAGGTAAGGTGGTTAACCACTTCGGCGTTGATTAGGGCTTCGAAGACTTTGCCGAAGAGGGGTAGGAGACTAATAGAACGGTAATTAGAGGGGTCAGAGGGGTCGCCAGTGTTCTTAAAGACAGGAACAATGGATGAGGACTTCCAGCAGTCAGGAAAACAGGATTCCTTGAGGCAGTAATTATATAGTTTAGAGAGGGCGGGCGCTAGTTCAGGCGCGCATTTTTTCAAGACAATGACTTGTATGCCATCTCCACCATTAGCCTTGTGGGGGGTCTAAATTGGAGATAATGCCCAATACTAACGACGAGGTTATGTGTAACCCGCTCAATAGGGCCTCAGTTCTTAGAGGGAAGTCGGGTATGGGTACACCGGAGAGAGGGAAGTCGGGTACACAAGTCTGTAGGTTAATGTGATATAAAAAGCACGGCTTATTATTTTTTTTTATCATTTCACCACAAAGAAAGGGATAAAGCCACTAAGAAGCAAGGATTACAGAAATAAAATGACCTGAGAAAATCATTATAAAGGAGAGAGGAAAATAACAGAACAGATTACATCTCGGAAAATCAACGTTGACTGTAAAGCAAATAGCCAAAACAGAATTCCTCAAACGTGAAGTTCGAGAGAAGGAACTGTTAACATAGAACTTACGATTACAGTTTCAACTGTGAACTGCTGAAACCTAGCTGCCAATCTAGTACTGCGCTTAAGTTCGTAATATCAAGGTACCAAAACTGAAAGCGCGTCAGAACAGCTAACATGAAAATATTTATTGACAAGACACGGTGAAGCTACGATATAGCGGTGGGAAAGTGACTGAGTTCTAGATGCCGTCTCAGGACCAACAACATTTCAGATGCTGCGTTTTATTTTGTCAAGAATCGCTAGATGCATAGCAGGAGCACCAGACCAGATGTGACAGCAATATTCAATGCATGGAGGGATAGTAGAATTATAAAGTTGTAAGATAGACTCTGGCGAGAAAAGGTTGTCTGGAACGACACAGTGAACTATCTTTCCTAGTAACAGACGCAGATTCAATATAATCGTTCTTCTTCGTGTTAGTGAAAAATGTTAACTCGAGAAAGTAGAATGAATTCCTCTCCTGGAGATAAGCACTGATGGAAGGCAAAAACAAAAAGGGTTCTCTAAGACAATTAAAAGAGGAGAGTTTTGAAGACTTTAAAATGTGCTATAGAATATTCTGCTTTTTCTTTCTTCTTTCCTTGCTTCTAGTGTACATATGTTACACCTTCATTGTATCTTCTAAGTAAGAACCGATAATATTCAGAAAGTTTTCATATTTCCGCCTATTTTTTAACGGATGCGGGCATAGCATATTGGTTATTGGCACAGAAAATGGAAACGTCGCGATGAATTCAAAGTTGCTTATCACTCTTGCTCGAGTGCTTTTGGGAAAGATGTGAATCTATTTATCCCTCAACCCGAACACCCCAATTAAATAGCAGATCAAACTGATCTTTTCAGCCTTGGTTGGCAACCGTTCTAAAAGGACAAACCTGGATTCAAAGACTACGACACTGAAACCGATGCAACGGCCTGACTGTGCGGCCAACGGGGGTTGTGAAAGTTTATGTCTCAAACATCATAAGGCTTAGACCAACGGAGTTGAATCGAGAGCCAACGGTCTGATCGGTCGGTAGTCAATATTCTTGTTTCGGTCTTTGTTCATCTTTGTCTATGCATGTTATTGTATTTATTTGTAAAACGCCCACTTTTCAAGCTTTGCCACCTCATGGAGCTTTATAACACACGTAATTGATAACGATTGGTCAAATCGTAACAAGAAGACTTTATGTCCACTTTTCCCTCTCTCTCTCCCTCTCTCATTCACTCACATTTATTCCTATTTTTGTTTTTTCCTCTGTTTCACGTATAAAGGGTGTTTCATTAAGCCGGATCAAAGTTAGCAGTAAATAAATCAGTGTTATTTGTGAAAATTTATTTATTTCTCTATTGGATCATGTTATTTAAGTCATGGTCATTATGTATGAAAAATAATATTGCCCAAATGTCCGCCAAATCTGAAAGAAAAAGAAAAAAATCATTAGACGCTTAAACTTAATTCACATTTAAAATCGGTCCAAGTTATTGAAACACTCTTTATATACACTATACGTAATCCTGAGTAAACTGGTACTGCTATCGACAATAAAAATAAAAAACACCATTTATTTTTATTAGCAGTTCAGTATCTATCGTTTCAAGGTTTATGTCCTCTCCGCGTCGAAACGCTGGGTCCCGTGCGACCACCAAAGTTAAGCAATGCCGAGCCTGGTCAGTACCTAGATGGATGATCATTTGGGATTAGTAAGTGCTGTAAGCTTGGATGAGTAGGTGGTGTAATGAACAATGTCTCAGAATTGTTAATTGGAGATTCGAGTTCCAATCCCCGTTAGGTTCGTTATACTCACTTTGGCGCACAAAAAAAAACTTTGACAAAGATATCAATCTACCGCTTTTCCTCACACTCAAACAGTAAGTTAATTAATAAGACCTGTATCACTAAGGCGTTATTATGTCAAAAAAAATTTCACAATCTAAAAATATATTCTGGCTTTAAATAACCTACAAGGGGTTGATAAGTCGTAGAAATTTTCAAATCTAAATTGTTTGCCTACTTAAAATACTTCTTTTATTTACCGCCTCCTTTCAAAACATGGCTCACCAAACTTTTTATTCTCTGTGGCTCTTAGCAGCTTTTTTCTCTTTGCTAAGGCCCCACTCTCTCTTCTGTCATTCATTCACAGAAGCTCATCAGATAGGTAGATAACTACCTTCCCTTAATCTCTCTTATCCTCGATATACCCTGCGAGGGTCAAATTTTCCAATTTTATTCGCTTTATTATTTTGTTTTTACTAATTTTCGCCATATACAAGGCCCAAGAACCACTCAAGGTAGAGTGTTACTGTCTGGTGTTGTATTAGTGTAAGAAAGGTCAAGAAGTGAAGTTCTTGGGGCTATACAGGAAATATAACAGACTTGAAGAGGTCAGGATTTAATTAGTGAATAACATTTCAGAGTTCAGTCGGAGATTTTAGAAGTATAGTCTGGAAGTAGAGTTTAGAAGGAACCGGAAACACAATTCTAAACAGGTAATAATGGGTAAATATCTACTCCTGTTCAAAAGACTAAGGAGGTATTTGAACCGGACGATAGGCGAACATATCTATTCCTAGGAAGGAGAAAAAATAGAATATAATAAATAATTAATCAATAAAATATCAAAGTTCAGATCGAGACGTTAAAATTACAGAGCTGAATATAGACTTTAGGAAAAACCGGAAACCCAATCCTGAAAAGGAAACAATGGGTAAACTTATACTCCTGTTCAAAAGACCAGGGAGAAGTGTGAGTCGGGCGATAGGCGAACCTAACTACGAGAGGGATAAAAGTGATAGCATCGATTCTAGGAGGTGGCATGAAGTTAGGGGAAAATACGCCACCACTTCTCCGCGTTTAAGAAGCTCGAATTGGGTGGTCGGTCTGATATTTCCAGAAGTTTCAGAAGATCTCAGTTGTGATGGCAAGGGTAATGGTTAAAATAGCCATTTCAATACCGGAAACTGTAGAGTGAGTAACCATGGTTAAATGTAAATAAATGGCAAAACTTTCCAACAAACAGAATTGACAATGTTTGCAATAAGCAATAACAAGAAAAAGAACAGGAAAGAACGTAGCAAAAGTAATATAAAGCAAGCAAACAATATACACAGTGTTTTGCAGTCATTCCTACTATTAATTGAAACCAACATAAACATTCGGTATTCATTGACCAAGTCGCTCCTCTTACTTGCGGACAGTTTTTCTCAAGTGTGAAACTCCCTTGCTTATTCCAGTTTCCCTGAGAGCTATAATTTCCAGCTATTCAAATGTAATGTCAATCGACATCTCCAGTTGCCTTGATCTATCCGCTATCCTTCTCCTTATCCTTTCTTCTATCACTCCTATCTGATCTTGCTCCAAATTTTCTGTAACCCCTTGCGTCCTAGTGGCTTCTCGCCTTGCTTGGGGTGAAACACTTAAAAAAAATCTATTATGGGTCTTTGTATTGGGGAAAACTATTAATGTGTGACAGACAGAAAATCGGTTCTTCTCTTATAATAGAGATTCTAAAAAATATTTTGTGTTTAGCTTTTATTTTATTTTTAAAAATCAAAATTTCAAATTGTTATTTTATTTTCTTAACGTTTTTTGCTCGTCAGTCAGTTACGTGCCATGCGTGATACACGCTTAGGCGATCATGTATCCTTCGATACATGATTGACGAGGCAGATATTTTTCCCACAGCAGGTTGCCATTTCTTTCTGAGGTAGACCAGTTGTCATCCAAGGCTATAGAATCCGGTCTGTCCTGTTATTTACCCATAGCTGGGGGAAGAAGTGGATTCATACCTTTATAGCGTTATATGAGCGTAAGTAAGTATAAGTATATGAGCATAAGTTGAGTTGATGTGGATATGTGGGAAGGATAACTGTCACCCTTAAATATGACGAGTTCAAGATTGTTCAGTTCAGTTATGTGCCATGCGTGATACACGCTTAGGCGATACATGACTGACGAGGCAGATATTTTTCCAACAGTAGGTTACCATTTCTTTCTGCGGTGGACCAGTTGCCATCCAAGGCTATAGAATCCGGTCTGTCCTGCTATTTACCAAAAAGCTGGGTGGAGAGGATTCATACTTTTCCTAAGGATATTAGAACTTAAGTGAATGTAATGGATTCGACTGGAATTCGAACTCAGCTTTCCGATTCCTTATTTCGAGCCGCTATCCATTACTCCACCGTTTTTACTCGTAGAATTTCTAAAAACTCCACTCTGCCTCGTGACTGCTGATTTGACTTTAAAAAAAAAAAAAATAGATCTGCACTCTCATTCCCCGAAAGAAAGGTTGTTTTTCTCAATCACTTTCGTTGCTTTCCAATGCAGACTTCGTTTTGTCATTCAGGACGAACAAAAACGTCAACTTGTGTGTATTTAATCGCGTTAGTTTATGATTTTCTATTATCAACATCCAACACAAAATAAATGCCCGAAATGGAACATCTACTAAGGCATGCTCTTAACTTGAAGATAAATCTTTCGCTTTTCACCTTGTCGACGATTCTGCGGTAGTTGACGATGTAACATAAACAAAATCATTGTCGTGAATACGAACGTACGATTAATAGTGACCTAACACAGAGGCGGCATAATGCGCATGCGTGAGTGACAACAACTACTCCCTTCATAAAAGACTGCTTAGCAAATAATGGCTTTTGTTTGCTGTTGCTAGTCGCCTGGGTCCACACACGCATTCCTGACTGTCATACAATCATTTTAATAAGAGGTGACTTGAATACTTCTGAAAACAAAACAGTTATTCGCGGATCTTAAAATGTGAATCAGAATATTTTCTAAAATTAGGCCAGCCTCACATAAAGCCAAACTAAATGAAATGAAATACTAGAAAGAAATGTGTTACTATAACCATTCAAATACGAAGCCTGTCTTGAAAATCATCATACTAAGTCTTGTCTTTCACCTAGGCTCCAATACCTATCACTTAGGGAAAGTTATGTATATAACTATAGCAACCACGGTGAATCAGGTCGATTATCATTAAATTTAGGAACGAAATGAAAACATTCATTTTCTAAAATGCTTTTAATTCGTTATTATTCTTGAGGAAAGAATGGAGCGATACTCTGAAGATGGGTCACTAAATCTGTAACAAAAGCTTCGAAGTGAATTTTGATCTGAAATATTCACTGTATATTGTTCGATCTATGTGATTAATTGAGAAGCGTTGTATTAAATACAGACAACGGAAGATGACAAGATACTATGTTGAAAAATAATTGTTGTGTCAAATAAATGCTTCTCAGATCAAGCTATGGACATAATGATATGCATTTATATATATACATACATATATATATATATATATATATATATATATATATATATATATATATATATATAGATAGATAGATAGATAGATAGATAGATAGATATGGTGGGGTGAGAGAGAAATAATATATACATTTTATATGCCAGAACAATGTCAGAAAAATTAATGACAAAGTGGAAAAATTTTAATGAGAAGCGTTTCGTCCTTTTTTAGAACTCTATCGTCCCTTCTCCTTCGTGTGCATGTGTAGTTACATCATAGTAAACATCACTTTAGTATGATGACGTCCTAAAGAAAGAAACTGGTTACACGAACATTTTTCTCATTTTGTCATTAATTCTCCGAACCTCTCTCTCTCCTGTCTCTCTCTCTCTCTCTCTCTCTCTATATATATATATATATATATATATATATATATATATATATATTTTCTATGATGAGGTATTATGTACACTATTTACATTATTCGGACTATTGTCCTCATCATTGTTGCCATATTTATCACAACGTTTCGGCCGTTGTACGCTCCAGCCTTCAGGTTCAGTTCGACATTCCAATCACTTGAAGAAAGCCGGAACGTACAACGGTCGAAACGTTGTGATAAATATGGCAACAGACAATAGTCCGAATAATGTATATAGTGTGTAAATATATATATATATATATATATATATATATGAAGAAAAATATACGGAAAAACAAACAAAAATCCTAATATGCAATTATGCTGTTTTAATGTTAATATAATATGTCCTGAAGATGGTCTATTAGACCGAAACGTCCGACGTTGACATTATATTAACATTAAAACAGCATAATTGCATATTAGAATTTTTGTTTGTTTTTCCGTATATTTTTCTTCATACTATTGGATCTATATCCATATATTTGCTTATATATATATATATATATATATATATATATATATATATATATATATATATATATATATATATATATATATATATATATATGACCTCGTAGTACGAGTGCACCGTTAAATGAGAAACTTGCTTTACGAGCTGCCACTCGTGAGTATTTTTGTATCGTAGGACGAGTAAAAGCTTGCAGCACGCGCAATCGAATCGTCATATACACGGAAGCAGTCGGTGAGTGAGTCAAAGGAAAGCATTGCCTGTTGACGTCATCTATTTGTAAGAAACAACACGATCAAAGGCAAGGTCAATCGCATCTGTGAACGTTCAGAACATTTATTCATTTTCTTGGAGAAACTTCTTCGAAGTACTTATCACAGATAACGTCACCTACCGACAATGTTGATTACCTCCCTTTCCTGACAAGCACGAAGAGGAGCTGGCGACAGAGGAATTCAGCTGATTCAGGAGCATCAAAACATGGAGGAGGTAAAGAATATAGCCAAGGACGAAAGATTGTCGGAGGTTGCCCCAACGAGTGTGATAAAAAAG